TCATTTCTGGATGTAGATGAGACTTGTTCCGTCTCCTCGGGGTCACAGAGCACAGCTGGTGGAGGGAACACTAGCTGGAGCTTGTGCGGCTCGGCCCAGCCCTCTGTGGGAAGCTGGGCAGAGGGGAGGGTAAGAGGACCTCAGAGGGAGCCGTGGTGGCCTGGTGGCCGTGGTTGACGTCTACGGCGTGCTTACTCTGTGGTGCCAGCTGCTGTCCTACGTGCTCCCCACGCACCGCTGTCTCCTCTGATCCGCCAGGTGGCCCAGGCTCAATACAGGTATCCCCCGTTCCCAGGTGCAGCCTTGGAGGCTTTGCTGAGGGAGTGAGGGAGGGACATTGCTTACATTGCAGACTTGCCTTGGCCAGGAGACGCCGGCCGGGAGCTGCCGAGAGATGGCTGGAGCTTCTGGCCTCGAGTGCAACTGAGGCCTGGGAAGGGCCCTGTCTGTGGCCCTGCCACCTAAGAACCGTGGAGATTGGACCCTGGGGGAGGCGGGGGTGGGGGGGAGCAGGCACCGGTGGGAAGGGGTAGTATCAGAGATCAGTCCCAGGCCCCGCGCTCCAGAGCCTGTGCCGGGAGCCAGGGCAGCCCCCTACCTCCCGCCCCAGCCCCTCCCTGGGGAGACACATTCGCCTGGAGCTGCAGTAGCTGGGCCCTTAGTGCACAAGATGAGGGAACCTGGGCTGAAGGCTTGGACAGCTTGCTCTGGGTCACCAGGAGGGTGAACTGTGGAGCTCACATTTGAACTCAGGCCTTTGGGGGTGATTTTACTGCTGTGGTGTGTAAGCCCCACCCACTCCCGCACCCCACTTAATCTCCCCCTCACCTGGACGGCCTTGCCAGTGGCTGGTTCCATCTCTACCCCTACTGACCAAGCACCTGCCATCCTTCTCCCGACCCACACAGAAATGCCAGCCTGAGGCGGTAGCAATTATTGCTGCCTTTTTCATCGTGGTGAAGCATACACAGCGTGACATTTACCGTTTCAGCCATTTTCAAGTGGACAGTTCTATGGCATTAAGTATATTAGCGTTCCCTTTATTTAATGCAGCTGAAGAAACCGAGTCTCAGAACGGTTCTCTTTGCCCCGGCTCGCACGACTGGTAAGGGCAGACTGAGACTTGAGCCCTGGCCGCAGAGTCCAGTTCTCTTTGCACAGTACCAGCTGCCTGCTGCTGTCTGCTGAGTCGGGCCCCACCCAAAGCTCCTGCTGCGCTTGGGCTGGTGTTTCCTGGGACGACTAAGAGAAGGCCTGGGAGGGGGTGTGAGGGCCCACCCCTCCCCTTTGCCCACTGAGCTTTCCCTGGGCCCAGAGACCTGCCTTGCCCACTCCTCCCCACGCCTCTTTCCC